TATATATATATATATATATATATATATATATATATTAATATAAATATATATATACATATACTTGTATACATTAATTTTATGTACGTTACGTATTAAGCGACTCAAAAAGAAAGAAAGAAACAAAAAAAAAAAAAAAACTGGCCAGAGCCAGCGTATTTTACAATAAATGAATTGATGTGAAATTTTTCCCAGCAACAGATTTTTCCTTACGGCATTCAGCAGCTGCATAAATATATCGTATTGCCCAGTGGCTGGCAAAAACTGGTTAAAAACTGGGCGTGAACGAAACAGAAAAAGGGCGGCAGAATAAGTGAAAATTAATATCTAAGGTCTGGCGTGCATTTAATGCCCCATTAGCCTTATTAACTCTGATTTTCTATCATGTTTTTTGCAGGAACTTAAACTCAAGGAATTATAATATAAAGAGCTTAAAATTCTTTTATATTTATATTTAATTATGTTGTTTAAATTCTATGCACACTTATCCAATAAAGTCCAAGGATGCTTAAGCAGATATTTTCTGTTATCATTTGCAAAAATAATTAATTTAATTTATTGATGTGCGACATATATATTTCAAAAATTTTGCTTTAAGCGCTGAGCTGGAAATCATTCCATTATAAACAATTTAAAACAGATTTTTTCAAGCACAAATATTTTGCATTTAATAGATATAAATGAAAATAAAAAATTTCTATTTCATATACACATTTATCTCCTACAATTTATTTTTATTTTTTTTTGTAAAATAAGCAGAAAAACGGTTGCCCTAACAACTTGAATATTTTTGTAAAAAGAAAACTTCTTCAATCAGAAAAAATATACACAGAAAAAGCGAGGTATTTAAATTTGTTTTTCCTTTTTTTTCGAACTCAAAGGTAAGCTTAAAATATACCAGGAATCCGCATAAAATATATGTATATTTTTTTTTTTCTGTGGGAAATGACCAACAAAAGCTGTAAAAAAAATAGAAAACAAGACTTATAAACGCCATGTCAATCTTGAATATATGAGCAACATGACAACGCACTGCTGCGGCACTCAGAGTGTTGCCAATGACAACAACAACAGTCCGAGATATGCTGAATGCATAGATTTATGACTGCATAATACCAAAACACACACAACGTAGCTGTGGGGCAACCAGAACTGACATGCAAGCATGCTGTAAGCCAAGCCAACTAGAGCAATGCCCACAGCTGCGCTTTGGCCGTTAAATGATGTTGACGAGATTTTGTTATATTTTGTTATACTAAAACCTTCTTTAGCTACCATAGAGACTTTTAGTTATTAACTAATATGTAGTTAATGAATGAAGTGTTAAATGTGTGCGCTCAAAAGTATGCTATGATTTTTTGCTGCTCTTTAGCAGAGCTCAGTCAAGCAGTGCACAAAGCAGTGCAAAGGCCAGCTAAATTATTTGATATGTCTGACTGAGTGGAAGGCGGTCTATATGTTCGCCTATCTGTCTCTCTGTACATCCGTCTATCTGTCTCTCTGCCCGTCCGTCTACTATCTAGTATTCTCTATGCAGCTCAGCTCGCCCTGCAGGCATAAGAAGTTTTTCACACCAAAAAAGCTGCAGCAAATCCTTCAAGCAAACGCTCAGCTGCAATTTATCAAGCATGAGAGAGCGCTCTCACTCTCACACACACACACACACTTTAATAATGGAGCAGTGCGCATTTTTTATGCTGCTGCGAATAGCAGCTTATTTCTTCCTCAGCTGCTTTGAGACTCTAATATTGAATATTTTTCAGCATTGACTCTTGACTGGGTAAGCATTGGCATCCATGGTAAGGCATTGGCTGCAGCTAGAAATGTCATTGTAGATTGACGCACTGATCCTTATTTATGCATTTATTTTGCTGACACTTTTTGGCCCCCAAAAATAAAAAGCAGCCAGCTGTAAGTCTAATGCAAGTGCGCTCCGGAAATGTCAGCGAGCACAAAAAATTGCCTTGCAATTTCTACTCTTTATTTTGCTTTCTATTATTATTATTATTTTTTTTCTCTCTCTCTTCATATTTTTTTTGCTTGACATTTATTTGCTGGCTGCGAAAACAAAAATAAATGTAAATAACATTTGGCATTTGGTCGAGCGAAACTCTAGAGGCCCACACACAAGCGCGCTATATATGTATATATAGAAACGAAATTTATATATTCTTTTCTTTTCTTTTTTTTTTGGCTTTTGGCTTTACTTAGGTCAGTCAACAGTTTACAGCGCTTCTGCACCATTTAACCTGAGAACATCTTTGCGTATAAAGTCAAATTTAGTGTGAACTGCCCAAAAAATAAAATAAAATCAAATCAAAAGGAAATGAGCCCTACCTAACCCAAAAACCGACTGGCCATCCAACATTTTTTACACTTTATATATATAAAAATATATATACCACTTTTTTATGCTAGTATTTACAAAGGCCAGCGCTTAAATGAGTAAAGGGAGCACAAATAAAAACTGAAAGCTGCACATTTAAAATGCAAATCTATTCATGGCTCTGCGGTCGTAAGCATCACGAAGTCCGGACCAGCGTCCATCGTCTGTTGGCCGGTGCCCGTTTTCCGTTGTCCGCTGTCCGTTATCCGGAGTCTTGTGCGTTCGCACTTCCGGCAATTAACAATAAGCGTCGCAGAAAGGTAGCTGAATTTTTATTTTTGTGAATAGCTACTTAAATATGGCAGCCATATTAACTATCTGAGATAGCTAGCTCCTCTTTGTGTTGACGCTCTGAAGTGAGAAGCTTTTCAGGCACTTGCGATTATGTGTGAAAATGGAAAGCAGGAAGAAGAAGATGCCCGAGACAAAGTAGAGGAATTATATATATGATGGAAAATTAGAGTTTTCTTTTTTTAGTAAAGTAAAACGGTTGAGCCTAATATAGACTTAATTCTAAATAAGTTTCAGGTAGTTTGAGATTAAGTTATTAAATGTTTTCTATTTGTTTTTTATATTAAATTTCATTTTACGCTGAAAGAAACAAGAATCTAATGATTTCTTCATCTGCATCAATATTTAATTCATAAACAATATTAAATTAATCATGATTAAATATTTTCTATCATCAAAACACATAAATTGTGCTCAGTGCCACATGGAAATAATCTATTGTAAAATGCATTTAAACTGTTGTATTAAAGTTGAAGTAAACTGTAATCAAATTAGTTCTCATCCACGCCTACTCTTAATTTAAATGCATCATAATCAACGCTCAACCACCCATACTATTGCATGCTTTAATGCCATAAGCCCTTCCGTTGCCCTTCAAAATGCGATTCCATTGAAATATTTATGCACACATGCGTGCATACACATGTTTGCCGCTTGCATATATGCAATGCGCAAAATTCGCGGATATGAAGGAAAATCAAAACCAAAAAACCGCGAGATTGAATAATTCGAGTGAACTGAGCTAAACTTTTCGGCTGAAATTATGCTCAATTTCGGTGGAAATAATATACATATAAATATATACATATACATTTATATATATTAATTCGCTTTACATCATTTGATATATGCAATCGACGCAACGGTGCGTATGCGCAATTAATATGCATATCACTCAGTCGAACAAATAATTATGATAATTGAAGTCTGCTTTGTAATCGATGCGCACAGCTTGAAGGCCCTGCTTAATTTGTATCAGAAATGTTTCCGACAGGCAAAGGAAGAGAATAATGAAATTTACATTAAATACACTTTAACACACGCTGGGCCCATAAAGGCAAAGGCAGACAACAATTTAATTAAAAGACATAATACATGCACACAGCTGCTCAGCATAGCAGCTTAAGCTGATAAAAGACGTGAGAACTGTAATATAAAAATAACAGCAATAACAAAAAATAACTATAAACTTTTACGATTCTAATGTGGCACACACACACACACACGCATACACAGCACGCAGAGCCACAGGCAAAGAGCAAACGGTTGTAAGCATTTTCTTTTAATCAGCTGGCGACGCGAGCGCCTTTTTTTGGCTTTATTCCTGCTGTGTGTGTGAGTGTGTGTGTGTGAGTGTGAGACCGTGCCCACATTCAGCGCCATGCTAAAGGGAAT